ATCCAGTGCAGATGTCAGATCAGCAGTCTTTTGTCAGATAGCGCAACAGCCAGGTAGTATGGCGATGGCTCCGGTAAATAGCGGTCAGCCAGTTCAAAATTTTCAGCCTTTGCAGAATAATCAGAATATGATGAATTCACAGAATTTTCAGAATCAGGGTAATTTTAGGCAAATGGCGCCTATGAATAATTTTCGCGGACAGAATAATCTTAGACCGAGATTTCAGAACGGTAATAATTTTAATCGCGGCGGTTTGAATGGAAATAATGGTAATGGAAATTTTCGTCCTCGGTTTAACGGTAATAATAATTTCGGTAACGGTGGTAGTAATTTCGGAAATAACGGCGGAAATTTTTCGAATGATATTCGAAATGATCAGCAGCAGAATAATGGTCAGTTTAATGAGAGTCAAATTCAGAGAGACAAGTGGAGATTGTCGAATGGTAGGGAAATCTGCTATAAGTGTCATGATCTACATGCAGCGTCAGCCTGTCAGCGACCCTTAGCGTTTCCTCGTCTGATTGAGCCTACCCTAGAAATGTTGCGACGTTATGGTGCGCAGGTAAATGTGATTGAATTCGAGTATATATGGCAGAAGAAACCAGCGCAGTGTAACACTACAGAAGTTATTGACATGTCGAAGTATCCAGCGTCAGAATTGGTAATTCATAAGCCGACGTTAGACGCGCAGGCGTGGTACTGTACGATTGACGTGAATTACAAACAGGTTAAGGTCATGATCGATACAGGTTCGAGTATTTCGATAATTCCCTTTCGGTTAGCGAAGAAGTTAGATTTGCATATTTTTCAATGTCCGAGTCATGTTAAGGGTATGTTGGTAAATACGGCATATAACGGTCAGCATGCGGTTGAACCTCTGTCGACCTTGATCACTATTCATGAATTTGATACGGCATTTGAGCATACGTGTTTAGTAAGCACAAATTGCGATCGTGATCATATTATTTTGGGAATGGACTTTTTCGTCACGAAGCCTTTTATTTTGGACTTCAGTTCTATGACTTGGCGTATGATTCGTCAGAATTCGTTAGCCAAACTACATGAGAATGCGTTAAGGAAGACTTGCGATATGGATGAGATTGTCAGAGAGCATAATTTCGTAGAGTTAGCTCCAGTGCATACGTATTATGGTAAGTCGATTCCGGCTTTAATGCAGGCGAACATGTTGGGTTTTGCTCCGTATGCGGAATTTCTTCCGTATAAGACAGCGCATAATGTGTACATCGGTGCACCAGTCGATATTTGTCAGATGGAAATGGATTATGCGGTGAGAAAATGGCCGAGAGTGTCAGATTCGATCTGTTATGCAGACGTAGATAATTCGGAATCTCAGTTGAGTAATAATCAGCAAGCAGGTGGCGGTAAGCAAGTTTGCGAGGGTGTATCTCAATCCACCGCCCAGCAGAGAGAAGTTACGGATAATTCGGCAGTAAATCGTAGTGTAAGGGATGCAGAATTAGCAGATGTTCGTAAGCGATATGATAAATTACTTGGTCATAATGATGAACCGGTAAGCGTGAGTAATCCGAATTTTCGCGGACAAAATAACGGCAGAATTTTTGAGGAAGAAGTTTTCAGTATTACGAATTCAGGTGAACAGCAAGTTTGCGGGGGTGTGTCTCAGCAAGTTTGCGGGGTAATTCTTTCTCAGCCGATAGCAGTACTAAGCAAGTTTGCGGGGGTGAAAATAAGCGTGAAAACGTACGCGGTAATGTTGAGAACGTGCATAGTTATGCGGCCCCACCCGCCCAAACCCTTCAGAATAATTCACAGAATAAGAGTATTGTGCAGCGACGTACTTTTCCTGATTCGAATATGGTTAAACGTAATCAGCATTTGATGGAGAGAGGAATTAATCAGCCAGCAGTTAATGGCGATAAAGCGGTTAATAATGGTAAATCTTTGACGATTGCGGGTAAGAAATTGAACGTAGTTCCGGTTGAACAGAATAACGGTAAGAGAGTGCCTGTTAAAAGTGCACAGTATAAAGTTGATTCGGATTGGAAACGTTGGATGATACCGAGACTTGATCCGGAAACGCGTGAGATGAAACCGAGTCTTGCGGATTTCAATAAGGTTACTTTTTGGCGAGCACAGCAGAGAGCGCAGGGTGACGCTAGGTGTTGGTATCATTTGTACTTAAATCCTCATAAGGCAGATACGAATTTCATTAAGGAGGAGATTAATTGGTTTACGATTTACGATGGAGTTTTGTGTCATAAGAATGAGGCGCGAGGCGCTAAACCACGTATTTTTGTACCGTATCATTGGCGTGTTAAACTAATTTTGGCAGTACATGCGGCAGTTAAGCATGAGAAAATTTTGAAAGATAATACGACTTATCGTCTTTTGGTTGAAAAATTTTATTGGCCGAACATGCTAGTTGAAATTGATCATGTCGAGTCTAATTGCAAGTTCTGTTATCCTGAGCATCGGGATACACGTCCTCCGAGACATCCAGATCCGGCAAGTAATGAGTACTTGCAGTCAGATATGTCGAAAGATGAAGTTGCGACTTGGGTTGATCCGAAATACACGAATAAGTTCGCGGTATTGCAAGGAGAAACTGGAGATTTTGTAAATGGAAAATTTGTACCGGCTGAAGGCAATTACGATGTTGACCTTGGTAAGGCACCTGTCTCAGCGGAAGACCAGCGTGCTATGGCGAGAGCTATTTCTCGAGTGGATTTTGACGGTCCTATTCAGGTAAATAGACCAGGAGTAATACGAGATCCGTTACCGAGTAGTTTTACGGATACGATCCAGCGGAATAGAGTAGATGCGGCGTATAAGAAGTGCGATAAGCCGACGAAGACTAAGAAAAAGGGTAAGAAAGTGACATTTTCAGGAATAGCACCGGCAGATGATGATGAGTGGTCAGTTCCACCTGTTCAGTCGAATGTTAAGCAAAACGTTAGACAGTCCAATGTTGAGAAGAGAAATCTTCGGAATGGGTCTGTTCCTCGGAATGAGTCTGCTTTTCGGAATGAGCCTATCTTTGAGTTGAACAAAACGGTACCTGCGGTGAGCGGTGAAACGGCACGTCTTGTGAATGAAGCGGCAACGAAGCAGAATAAACCGGCAGTTAATTTTTGTGCTATGGAAGTTTTTCCTCAATTCGCAGTTGATATTAAACCTCGGTCCAAAGGTGTGATCCGTGCTCGCATAAATAAGTCTGAATCTGAAATTGCTGAACTGGTGAGAAATGGTTTGGTTGAGCAAAATTTTGAGTATGAAGGTAAACGGTTTGGCAATTTGCTTCTGTTTGACGGTGTGATTGATGTTAATGAAAATGGGTGTTTGCGTATTGCTGTGATGAATCTGTCGGATAAAACGGTGCAAATTGGCAGTAATCTATTTCTGGGTGAATTAGATCCTATTGACAAAATTTATGCGGTTGGTTCGGATAAATTCAACAATAACTTTCATGATGCAGTTTGTACTATTGCCAAAAATTGCGAGTGTTGGGCGAAAAAACTCGTTAATAGGAAAGTAGGTGTCGATAATATTGACCGAGATACGGAGGAAATGGTCAGTAAACTCGAGTCTAAGCACTTAGTCTCCGATTCCACTTTTGGAACTCCTGCGGTGATTGTGCAGAGGAGTAACGGGTCAGTAAGTTTAACTGACGATTGGCGGAAATTATCGCATAGGATAAAAGACTTACCTAAGCGAGAGTGTCAGGTAGCCACTATGGAAACAAAGAAGGCCGTTAGTACTGAAGCAGTAAAGGTTAGTAGTGGACCGCCAATTCAGAACGGTAGGCAGGAAATCGATATTAGTATTGAAGGCATGTTCGAGAGTGTGCCCGAATCAGAACTAAATATAGTAGTCCTGGGAAGACAAAAGGTCGAAGAAACTGTGCCGATCCCGGCAGTACAGGCGATTAAGGAAGTTGTTTCAGTACCGGTAATTCAGATTCAGAAATCAGTAGAAATTAATACGGCAACTATGAAGCGTTTAGCAGATTTTAGTAAATTAGGGTTAGTACCTCAGTATCCGATTGAAATTCAGCCGAGAAATAGGGGAGTTATACGTGCTCGTATTAATAAATTCGGAAGTGAATTAGCAGAATTAATTAAGGGCGGATTATTGGAACAAAATTTCGAATATGAAGGTAAAAATTGCGGTCTATTATTGTTTTGTGACGGTATTGTTAAGTTTGATGAAAATGGTTATTGCGGTATAATTGTTGTGAATAATTCGGACGAATCAGTAGATTTATCTGAAAATTTTTATTTGGGAAATGTTGTCCCGGTTGAAGAAATTTATTCAGAAGGCGAAAACTATTATGAAGATGATTTTCACGATGTTGTTTGTAAAAAGTTACAGGCATGTGAGTGTAACGCAGTTAATATTTTTAATGAAAGAAATGGTGCTAATAGTATCTGCATTAAAACTTCGAATGCTTTTTGTAACAATGGAAAGTCAGTCTGTATTGTTAAAGATAGTAAGGGAATACATAAAGTAGCGGACGACATCCATCTAGCCGTTTCCTTTTGCGCTGACGGCATCCACATAGCCGTTGCAGTGGTCACATTCACTGCAGTACCATTCTGCAGTGGTGACCTTTCCCTTTTATCCGGTGGTTTAGGGTCGGGTCGATCAGTAGGCTCACCGGTGCCTACTGATCTTGCCCGTTTCCCTGAACCGGCGCACCACCTTGTTGTACGCCCTGGACATTTCCCTGTTGTTGTCCGTTACCATTTGCCGGGTTAGGATTCTGTCCGTTTCCCATGTTCTGGCCGCCACCATTATTTTGTCCGCCACCCTGTTGGTAGTTTCCTTGGCCACCTCCGTTTCCGCCGCCTTGGTTATTGCCGTAGTTCCCGCGGCCATAGCCTCTGCCTCTTCCTCTGAAGCCGCCGCGGCCGTAGCCACCACGGCCGTAGCCGCCATTCTGGCCACCGCCATTTCCATTTCCGTAGTTCCCATTTCCGTTCCCTTGGTGGTTTTGGAAGTTTGCTTTGTGCTGGTACCATTGGGCGATAAGGTCATATCCGTTATTCACCGCTAGGCGCCAACCACCAAGTCCGCGCAGTCGTTGCCATTCGTTAAAGGCGAACAGGTTCGGGTTCTGGTCCGGTGGTGTGTTGGCGAATTTGCATCCCTGGGTCTGGTGGTTGCCGTACATACAATACTGGCACATTTGCACTCCGTTTGCCACCCATCCATCAATCAACTGGAACTTGAATTCCGTCCGTGACCCTTGATTCTGCTGAAAGTTATTCTGATTTCCTCTGTTTGGCTGGAAGTTGCCTTGACCTTGACCTTGATTCTGATTCTGGAAGTTCCCTCGACCTCCGTTCCAATTTCCATTTCTGTAACCATTTCCACCGAAATTTCCATTGCCCACTCCCTGTTGTGGTAACCCTACATTCATAGGGGCCACATTCTGTGGTACCTGTGGGGCCGCATTCTGAGGTGCTGGCCTCGCTTGAGCGGCCACCTGTACCGCCGCCGCTTGTATTGCTGCAACCATTGCATCGGCAAGCGTGACCTCCTTTATGACTTCTTGAGCCGGGTTTGTCCTGCGGTATTCCGGTGGCTGCTGAACTGGCGCCACTGCCATCCTCTGTTGTGGCATATCTTCAACTTGGCCGGTACGAATTGTCACATAGTCTTGATTGCGTTGACCTTTAGGCGCTTTATACTTTTCTTCTCCTGCTGACCAATGTCTGAAGAAATCTTTAATTTCGGTCGGTGTTCTGCACTGTTGCGTACGCAGTGCCTTATAAAGGTCACTGTCCACTCTGCATCCTTCAATCAGGAAACCGACTGCTTGTTTTTCAGTGATAATCCGCTTCGCCTTGTATTTCATGATCGCTTGATAAAACTGATCAAGCGATTCTTTTCCAAGGTCGAATTTCCTTGCCATGGCTTCTCGTAGGCCGAGGACTTCTTCGTCACGGTCACCGTATTCATCTTTGAACTTGTTCATCCATTCTGTTACAGTGTATTCAGTTTCTTCTTGGAGTGCAATTTCTCTCTCTCCTTCAAACCAGATTTTTGCCGGTCCTTTCACCGCGCTGGCTATCTCAATTAGGATCTGGTCATCGGTAAGGTGATACGTTCGCTGGGTATCCCTAACCAATTGGGTCCACCCATTCACGGCATCGCGACTTCCATCAAAGGTCACCAGAGTCGTTTTGCGTCCCATCGATTTGAGCGCATTTGCCAATTGCTCCGATGCTGATTGTCCTCTCTGGTCATCTTCCTCTTCGCTACCGTCGTCGTCGTTTTGGTTTCGTTTCACCTTTTCATAACGAGACTTTCGTGGGCGTTCTTGCCGGCTAGACGGTCTATCTCTATGTCTTTCATCAATGAACACGTTTGTTTCGATATGTGGGGGAAACTGTGAAGGGTCACCTCGACTCATATGCGGGTAGCTTTCTGAAGGTGGCTCTTTGTCATCTTTGACCTTTTCACCGTCCCTTTCATTTTTGACGCTTCCTTTGCCGGTACCGGTTCGTAGCGGCATGTCAAAGTGGAAACTTTTACTCGTGCCCGTTTCATGCGCCTTGCTGTAACTGGGCGGCGGTGATTCCACTGTTGTTGTCCTGACTCCATATTGCAGCAGCTGTTCATCTTTGTGTTTGTTCGACATGTTGAGCGCCTTATTTTCATCTTCAAGGCGTCTGATCTTCAACTGGAATTCCTCCTTCTCGGTTTTTAGGCTCTGGTTCTCCTCGTTGACCTTTAGCATATGCTGATGCAGCTGGAAAGTCTTCTCCTGAACGACCTTTTCAGTGTCATTCTCCACCCTTTTAATGTGTTCCGCCAGTCGGGTCACATCCCTTTCCAACGTCGTGTATTCCTCAGCTGCTGTTTTCAGCTGATTCTTGGTTGCAATCAACTCATCATCTTTCGCCAGTGCTGTAGTGGTCATCTCGAGCAGTTCAGTATTCAGCTTTGTGACTTCTTGGCTCTTTTGGGCGACTTGTTGTTGCCATTCTTTGTCCTTCAGCTCTAATGCTGTGACCATCGTATCCAGTCGCCTTGCTTCCTTTTGCCACTTAAGCCCTTCCTTTGTGACCTTTTGAATATCTGCAGTGACCTTTTCATTTTCGTCGTTGACCTTTTTAATCTCTTCTTTCAACTTTTGTCCTTCTATTGCAGTGAGGTCTCTCGCATCGCGCATCGCTTTGGTTATCTCGTTGCGTAGCCTTTCGGCTTCGTCAGCACGTTCCTGATGACCTTTCGACTCATTTTCCAGGGTGCTGATGGCTTCGTCTCGTAGCTTCAGGTCATTTCTGAGTTTGAATGTCTCTGTAGCCAGCGTTGTCAATCGTTGTGTGACTCCCGCGAGGTTGGCCGCGTACTCGTCCCGCTTTGCCTCCGCTTCGGTGACCTTTTGGCGTAATTGGTCACATTCGTTCTTCAATTCAGCTAAGTGCCGTGACCTTTCCGCCGACTCTTCCGACATACTCTCGTTAAGGTCACTGACTGCAGGATGACCTTCCATTTCTCTGTCATCTACCATTTTCAGATATTCCTCAGCGAGTTCTTTTTGACGCTCGTATTTGATTTTCCATTCATCCGCTGTGCTTTCCAAATAAGCCTGTTGTTGCTCCAATTCGTAAATACGAGCGTTAAGAGACCCCGTCTGGTTATGGTATTCCTGTCTCCTTTTCATCACCAGACCTTCCTTAACTTCAAGTTCCTCTTCCAACTCCTTCACGCGTCTTTTCAGAGTTGACGTGGGACTGTTCGGTGACGGTGGTCGTACATTGATGACCTTTCCTGTTTGTGTCCGTTCGATAAGGTGCTCTGGTATCTCTTTGAAAGGTGTCATCCCTTCAGCACGGTCAGCTTGTCTCATCGCAGATTCGAAGGACATATGCATCGTCGCTTCATCATCCGCGAAGTATGACTCGTTCGATTCGTCTGAGACCATTGGAGTTGCCCAAAGGTCATCGCCTGCGGTCTTATCGTTCAGTGAAAGGTCATCCAGACCCAGTTCAGCGAGTTCTTCTTCGGTGACCTTTGTCTTATCAACTTCCATTTGAGTCAGGTTCACGTTTTTATCCTGCTCATTGGTGGTAGCATCCGACTGTGATGCTCCAACTGGTTCCGCTCTTCTTTTTGTGGGCTTATCCTCCCCGGTGACCTTTATCTGGTTCATCGGATGACTTCCCGCCGCAGACGCGGGAGTATGCTTCTGGTCGTCACTCGAACTTTCCTGGTTGGCGACCGCCTCGAGCGCCTTCTGATAAGTGCTATCAGAGCCTCGCGAATCCTTCTTCTCGAATGCTTTAGGCGCTCGAGTGTTCCGCTCATGTCCGACTGGACGTGAGTACGTGTGAAAATCCCTTTCGTATGGGTTTGGTGCACCTTGCCGTGAGCTGCGGGAGCTTTTGCTTCCCTGACTGCTGTTAGATGTCGGTTCTTCTTTGTCTTTATCCATGTTGATCGGATAACTTGGACGCTCCTGCCAATTGTTCTCACAAACACGTTATTGTATGGTTTATTCAATTGTCCTAAAGGTCACTTTCGTTCTGTGAAATTTTCTAAGTCCTTAGTAAAGGTCACTTTTCGATTGAAAAATTTCGACTAAGTCCCGTTTAAAGGTCACTTTTTCGATAAAAAGTTCGAGAGATTTGCCCTAAAAGCTCACTTTCGGACAAAACTTCGAAACCGCTTTTACAGTTCAGAGCACGTTAGCGAATAAGATCCTACAGCTGCTGGTATCGCTGTACTACTAATCAACTCAATTTCGACTTCGTTAAAGGTCACTGTTGGTTGCTTTCAGATCATAAAGGTCACTTTAATAGGTCAATTTGGTCAATTCCAACTTTTTAGTAAAGGTCACTTTCCGAATCTCAAAGGTCAACTTCTGGTCGTAAAGGTCACTTTCATACTCGTCTTAACTCACAAGGTCACTTCCCAACACGATTTAAGTTAAAAGGTCACTTTCCCGCTCAATTCAATCAAAGGTCACTTTTCCTTTGTTTCAACTCAAAAGGTCACTTCTCAACTCGATTTAAGCTAAAAGGTCACTTTCTAGCTCAATTCACTCAAAGGTCACTTTTCCTTTGTTTCAACTCAAAAGGTCACTTCTCAACTCGATTTAAGTTAAAAGGTCACCTTCCCGCTCAATTATCTCATCTCAAATCAAATTTCCCATTACGACTCGAGTTCAACGGAAAATCCCCATTCGGGTTGTTTACTTCGTTCTGATTGGTCCGCTAGCTCAGAATATTCAGCTCAAATTTCGGCCAATCACAGCTCAGATAACTAACCAATCACGTCAGTCCACTTAAATTTTATATTAGCCTGACGTCACGGTCAACGGCCAGACATACGCGCCGTGTGCAAAACTCCGCCTACATCTACGCTCAGCTCAGTACGGACCAATGAAAATTGCCAATTTTACTAACTAGCCAATCCCGTAATTAATAACGGTTTTCTACCTGTTAACCGTCCGTCCGTTCCGCGTTCCACGGGGAATCGATCCAGATGATCCAGATTCTTCTTCCACTATCCGTTCCCGCGTCGCCGCTGTTCCGTAGCGTGCCTCGCGCTATTGGTAGGCTACTGTGCCGGCTGTGCCGTAGCAACAGTAGTTATACGCTCTACACCAGTTTGGTGGAGTCTGATCTGTCTTTTTCCCGTGCGCCCGTTTCGGCGTTTCGGCGCTTCTGCCCCACGGCTTAGGATTCGCTGAATCCTTGCCGAGTACCAATGACACCAGTGTAGGTCTTCGCTGAAGACTCTACACCGAGGAACACTGGCGACTGAACTCTTGCACTCTTTCACAGCTAAGGAAACAGCACGGTTCTTCGCTGAAGATACCGTACCGAAAACCGAAGCTGGTTATCCGCGTCCGATGGAGGGAAATTGCACCGCTTGTGGTGTGCGCTTTGCTGTTGTACACACCTGTGCCTTACTGGTCACAGAAAACACGTCCGATAACAGGCCAACTTTGCCTGACACAAATCAAATCAATTCAAATCAGAGAACCGCTGTCGGCTCTGCTACCATCTAAAGCTAGATCCAGAATGGATCCAGAGACGGAGACAGAAACGGAATCTATCCCGTGGAAGTGAGCGATACGACCTGGATCGCGAACTATGCGGAAACACAAACGTCGCGCCGTAAATCGCTGACTTTTAATAATATTGAAAGTCTGCACAACAGAAATCAACAAGTGATCGGCGCAGCTCGATCGTAAAACGTAGAGCCCGTTCAACAGTGTGCAACACTGTGCAGCACGTGCTATGCCGCGCCCACTATCAAAACGCAAGCCAATCAGAAGAGACACAACACAGACACGTAATCCAAAGGCGTAGCGCCACAGGCGTAGCGCCACTGACGTGAACGCTAGTGATCCCGGTCTCACACCATCTATTCAGTTTGCTGCAAATCTGACTACTCACCTTCTGAATGAAGGTATGGCCCCAACCCTGAAGATTCTGCATGCAAAACTGGCATTACATCTGTCAGAGAGCCGGCTTCTTCAAGCAGAACGTTACGACCAAAAACGTGTCAAACAAAGAGAGTCCGTTCAAATGAAAAAAGAAGAAAATCAAAAACTGGCGATCGAGCAGACGAACAGCGGGATGCGGATGTTGCTGCACGAGTAAAAAATTACATCGGCGACATTGTCAAAACAACTCCCAAGAAAATGGGCCGTCCTTGCAAGACGAAAGAAACCACCTCCCTGCGCAAGCGTGGACGCAACTGGACAGACAGCGACAGTACGCCTACCAGAGTATCTGCTAGAAAAAAAACCAAACTTTATTCTAGCGGGGACGGTGAAATTTGACTTTTTTCTGATGTATGTTGATGTTGTTTGTGTATTTTCTGATGATTCTGATGGTCAGAATAAAGTTGAGTGTGGATGCAGGTTTTTATTAATTTTCATAAGACACGGATACATACAATGCAGATCGAAAACAGTTAATCATAGTAACACAATTCACACAGTGATATTTTCGAAACATTTATTACTGCAGATCAGCGATATCCTTCAAGGTCACATTGGCATCCCCTTTCTAAAAATTTAACAGCTACATAAGTAAAGAATGTATGCGCTGGAAAAAATCTATACACAGACAGTCACATTTCGCTCTAGCACAGTAAACGCCGAATCGTGGTGGCAGTACGCTATTTTGCTTCAGCATCACGGGCGGCAGTGCTAATGTTGCCTAATGCAGCGACCAGCCGAAGGCGGTTGACATTACATTCTGCCAACCTTTCGCGTTGGCACCGTCTTATTCACGGAGCGAAATGCGACTGGTAAAGTGCATGACTACACTGAGTGCACTCACATCGACTCCGGCAATTTTGTCCGGAAACATCTTGCGAACTAGCAGCAGGAATTCTTCCGGATAAACCGCCGTTTTTGACACAACGCCCGCTTTCTAAAATATTTATCAAAAAGTTTTCATATGGTACTTCAATATTTAACAAAAATATCAAAATTATTGTATGTGCTTGCAAAACAGACCGTTTATTACAGTTATGTAACTGAAGGCGCGGAATAAGTTTTCGTACAATAATGATCATGGTTGTTTTTTTAACGTTTACATTCCTATCATTGGCCAGTGCCGAATAAAAGAGGAGTTATGTAACCTGTTAATTCAATAACATTTTAGAGAAAGACGTGTAAGAAGTATTGCACAAACAGTATCCATTCAAATAGCATCTGCGCGTACACACCTTTAGTTTTATGTACATCTTCCGGTAAATGTGAGCACGCTTAGCTGCGTCGGAATCTTTTATTCGGGCAGCTTCCCGAAAAAGCTTTGTCAGCCAAAGCGGAGTTTCCAAACTGTCAATGGTGTTGTACGTTATCTTACGTGAGCCGCAATACATTACAATAATTACGTGTAATTTCACAATGAAATAATGCTCAGAAATTATATCAGTGATAATTTTGTACCTGTTGTCTTTAAACAGTGTATGCAGATCAAAGAGTTCCGGCAAAGCCATAATCCAGTGATATGTGTAGTCGTGTACCAGAGCCAAGTAATTAATCCCTTATGAAAAGCAGTGCTTCAAGTAATAAAGTAATCTCCGGCAGTGCCATGTTTTACAAGACGCAGGTGTCCCTTTGCGAAAGCTGACAGACAATGGAGGATATGTAATCAAACCTGAGCGTAACAGTTTCCCCTGCGCTGTGTCCCTTTCTGCGTGAACTGGAAAGCGAATGTCCAGCGCCACATTCAAGACGCGGATCTGACCGCGCGATGTGCGAACAGAAAAACAATTGCTGTGAAAAAAAGTCCTGTTTTTGTTCTCGAGTGTACCAAAAGTCTCGTTTCTATTCGTTTTTTTTCCAACTTTCTCAGTAAATGCCAATGTAGGCCAAGATCGTTTTTACTTTTTACACCGAACGGCTTATCTAGCTTAATTTTGAAATAAGTTATCGAATTTCAAAAACTTTGAAATTCAGTTTAAAATTTTAAAACAACATTTGTACGGTGGCTCCGTGTAAAAACGATCCTTATGTGAATGCCCATTTTTTGACAAAGTTTGAATTCAATAGGGTAATAATAAGACTTTTGGTACACCGAGGCGTGTTTAGGATTTATCCTCTTTTAAGTTTCCATTAACTTTACAACCGAATGTTTTGCGCGTATATCGTTTTCACAGTCATGCCACCAAATCGCTCAGCTAGTGGATGCAACAAAGTAATTTAAAAAACGTAACTGTTTGCGCGCAAGTAACGCAGGTTGTACAGGTAGACATGAATTTGAGGCCATGTACCGGCATATTTCCCTTAAGCGATTGTTTAGCGGTCGTTAGCCGCGAATTAGAGGAGGAGGAGGAATGCTTCAGTATTATATTGAGAACAAGAAAGTTTTGCGAAACTTGAAATGATTTTTTTAGTTTGTCATAGAAGGCGGATCCGCAGAGGACGCCGAGCTACGACGCGGGTGAAGCTGGCGGAGTAGGAATGGATGGCAACCTGTGCAACCTGCTATACACTTCCCAGTTCCGATTCAACGAGCGATGAAAAAAATATTATAGTGCTTTAAAACGGCAGTTTACTTTTTGCAATATACCGTTAATTGCTTTGTAAACACAAAGCAATAGAAAACCATTTAAAAATCGGAATCTTTTTTGATAATTTGACTGTCTAACGGGAATATTTGATCCATTATCAGCATTTAAAGGCTGCACGACTAATAGTGGCACCTTGAAATTAGAAACAGTTCGATCGAGCGCGATGGTAAAAGTAAGAGCTTTTTGCAACTGGGCGAGAAACTTGAATGATGATCATTGACTGGTGCAAAGGATTTGCTCTGGAGCTTACTCATTTCCGGGAAAAAAATTTTAAAAATTTCCAGTGATCATGTCTAAGATTTTCCTGACAATCGACGGGATGAAGAAACAAAAGAAGAACTAGAAGGGACAGAAATTTAAAGCTGGTCATTTTTTACTATAGTCTGTAATCAA